ACAGTTCTAATTAAGGGATTGTCATGGTTGGCGGTTGTTGGGTTGACTTTTGATGTGTGTGTAGCCAGTAGCCATCGTGCCCAGGTCCTGGCCATGGAATATCATATTGTGGCGGGTTTTGACGTCGATAATCACATTGTCTTTGACATGGAGTATTACGTCGAAATGGCGAAGGATCACGTCCAAGTGATGTTAATCCCAAAACTTGGACTAAAGGGAGAAGTAAGGAGAGAATTAGAATGAGGAAGAGCTGAAAGAAAATAAGTAGATATTGGAGAACAAAAAATTAATGAAGAGATTGTATTTCTCCCAATCAATGTGTTTTCTAAGATAAACTATTCAGTCCCTTGAAAAATAATTTTATGGAAGAAAATTGAAGTGATCGAGAAACATACCATTTTCATTTGCAGCCACAGAAGCAAACGAACTCACGAGGATAAGCAAATAGGATGATCAAATTGCAAACTAAAATTTTCTCGAACCCCATTTTTTTCTGCCCACTTGTATAGATATTGGTGCAAAATTAAATTTTTGTTAAGTTAGATATGTTAAATGGGGTGGAAACTATATAAAGAATAAAAATTCTAATTGTACTGAAGTTTAGAATCAAATTTGATACAATTGAGAGTTTATCGTGAAGTAATATGTTAAGGCTAATATGTAGTAGCTTTATTTGTGTGGCGGGTTTTTTTACCAATAGAGTTTGGTCCTTGTGCGGTAAAAGTGGTATACATAGAGACTAGTCGTACATCCCACATATTAAAACTTGGGCCATACGTTAGATGATGAAGTTGACACAATAGCTTGTCTATAGCATTGATTAGGGCTCACTAGTCTTTGGTAGAATTATGACATTTATTTTCGAGATTTTTATTTTCATCACAAAGTCTTCAAATTACAACTCTCTCCTTCTTGAACATGTAAACATTGATAAGCCACGATGTAAAAGGTATTTCATGTGAATTATAGGTATTTTATCAAAAAATGACAGTAGGTAGCAAAAATATTTTATGTACTATTTCAAAATATGTCACCTGTTTTTTAAATTTTCAAATATAGCAAAAATTCTCACTAGTATATGAGATACTCATATCAAGATACTTATATCAATAGTATATTAGATGTATATATATTGCACAAATACTTATGTCAGTAATAGATCAGATGTATATCACATATATATACAATTTTTTTAAAATTTTTATATTAAAAAAAAACTAAATGTGGTTGCTATTTTTCTTATTTTACTAAAAGCTTTTTCCATATGTGTAACTGCTCGAAATTATTTGTTAGTTTTCATACTATTTATGACACATTGATGCACACCAGACATATTTTACCCGCAATGAATCATAGAGAGGACATGGAATGTAATTTGCTGAGATTGAGAGAAAATCAAATCCTGAGCTAATAAGGACGACAATCAAATAAATAATCGAACCCAAATATCCAATAGAGTAGCCTTGAGGCAACCCAAATGGCATCATGACACCTGCAGTAGAAATGAGTAGGAAAAACATGCAGAGACAGCGTCGTGGCACTCCAAAGTTTTTAACTCACATTTTTAGTTTAGCACAAGATCCCTACTAATGGCGTCATGGAGTTGTTGCAACATTTTATTTATTTATTTATTTGTAATAATGGGGTTTTCCGGTTACCAAAGAGGATGGATTTTTTAGAGGAATTTTGACCGTCTACAATTTTGGCTAATATTAGAGAGCAATAATTCCATTTGAGAGCTAAGGAAATTTCAAGGCTCGTGATTGTGGAGACCGATTTGAGACAAACAATTGACATGCCGAATTTTATTTATTCTTTATCTTGATCTTTTTAGTTTTTTATCCAAACTTCTTCAATATTTCTGTTATTTTAATTTGAATACGAGTAGCTAAATTGGTAGTCTTGTAAATTTATGTAGTCATTCAACTTTGTGGAGTGATAGTTTAGTTCTATAGATTGACTAATTTTAATGTTCTATTTATTCTTCTCTATACTTAATGTTATTGATCTACCCGTAATAGATTAATTTAACAATTCAGACCTAAAACCTTACAGGGAGGCGTGGTTTAGAATTAGAATTGGGTGCATAAATATTGTTCAAATTCACTAGCATACAAATTGTCACAAGTAATATAAATGTGAGTAGATTAAGAGCGAGTTTACACATTTGTTCTAATGCACTATGATTATGTTACGGACAAAAAATAAACATTAGTGAAAATACAGGGATAACAAAGTGTAATATTTTGAAAGCTAGAGACAACATGGAAACTAACCTTAAAACTTATAAGTAAAAGTGTAACATTTGGAAGCTTGGTGACCAAATAAAAACTAAACTTAGAACTCCGATGTTGGAGGTCAAACTGTAGACACCCGACCTGTTCAAGTGAAACCAAAAGGTTGACCGAACAAGTCGACCTCGAATACTTTGAAGGGGAAGCCAGGGAAAGGATCGGTCCAAGGCAAGGACCAGAAGTCGCTAAAGGAACCCTGGCGGGAGTAGGGAAATACCCGATGGGACAACTATCTACCCTATCACCCGCTATAAATACACTTCCTCCCCACCCGCCAAGGTATGAAATCTGTCTGAAGATGATCTATTGAACTTAGATTACTTACTGACTTGGGCGTCATAGTGGCTTACCTCCTTGCAGGTGTTGGGTGTGTTGCCCTAAACTTGTCGTTTGTATTTATATACAAACAAATTTATAATCAACAAACTTATATTAAATCAATCTATGTACCTCCTTGTAGTCCGATGCGCCGAGACCCTGAGAAGCGCAACAGGTCGAAGTTCTGTCATTTCCACAAGGATCACAGGCACAACACTTCTGATCGCTACGACCTGAAGAGGCAGATTAAGGGCCTAATCCATAAGGGAGGAGGAGATGGAGTAGGCAGCTCGAGAGGGGAAAGGACGGATATGGAGAGGACAATCCCCCCGAAGTGCACAGACCGACCTGTCGTGATTAATATGATCTTCGAAGGACCAAGTAGGGGCCAAACGGGGAACAAGCGCAAAGCACTAGCCCGAGAAGCCCGTCATAATGTATGCGCGAGCTTCGCGCAACTCGTCCCCTACCAGATCACGTTCTCGGAAGAGGATATGAGGGGCCTGCATGACCCAAACAACGATGCCTTGGTCATCGAAGCCCAGATCAACCACATGACGGTTAGGTGCATACTGATCGATGGAGGTGCCTCTGCTAATATTCTATCGTTTTTTACTTACATTGCTTTGGGATGGGACGAGGTCAGCTTAGATCGAGCCCCACTCCGCTAGTTGGTTTTGCAAGGGAACCCGTTAGGCCTGAAGGATGAAACATGCTCCCCATAACTCTAGGGAAAGGGGATCACTAGATCTCAAGGATGACGGAGTTTGTGGTGGTTGAAGCCAGGTTGGCGTACAATGCAATATTCAGTCGATCTATCATCTATGACCTACAAGTTCTGCCTTTTACACTACATCAAGTAATGAAATACCCAACTCCCAAAGGGGTGGGAATGCTACGGGGCGAGCAGAAGAACTTAAGGGAATGCTATGCGGTAGCCCTCAAACCCACTTGCAACGCAATCACCGGGGTTTCCAAGCTTCAAGTAGATAGGTCACTTGACAAGCAGAATCGTTGGAAGCCCGCGGAAGACGTGAAGCTTGTCCCATTGCTCGACCAAGAGAAGTGCGTAAGTATCGGCACAAATATGGGGGCCACCGAGAGAGAAGATCTCATCCAGTTCCTAAAAAGCAATACCGACATGTTTGCCTGGTCGCACGAGGACATGCCTGGGAATGATCCAAGCGATGCACCACCTTAGTATAGACCCTTATGTGCTACCTGTAAAACAAAAAAGACAACATGTAAACACTGAAAGAAGCACATCTATTGTAGAAGAAGTTCAAAAACTTTTTTAAAGATGAATATAGCAAGGAAGTTCATTACCCTGCGTGGCTCTCGAATGTAGTGTTATTCAAAAAAACAAATGGAGAAATGGAGGATGTGCGTAGACTTCACTGACACAAATAGGGCATGGGCATGCCCCAAGCATAACTCCCCCTCCCACAAATCGACCAACTGGTCGACACAACAGCAGAGCACAAGCTCCTGAGCTTCATGGACGCCTACTCAAGGTATAACCAAATCAAAATGCACACCCCCGACCAATAGCACACCTCGTTCATCACCAACCAGGGGCTCTACTGATACAAAGTCATGCCTTTTTGGCTAAAGTATGCTTGAGCGACCTACCAGTGCATGGTCAACAAGATGTTCATCTACCAGATAGCTTAGAACATGGAAGTATATGTGGACGATATACTTGTGAAGAGCAAGAAGAAGACCTCCCACATAGCCGACCTGACGAAGTCATTTGAGGTCCTCTGTAGGTATCAGATGAAGCTTAACCCAGAGAAATGCGCGTTCGGGGTCTCCTCTAGCAAATTTATAGGGTTCGTGGTAAACCAATGCGGAATGGAGGTGAACCCTGAAAGGATCCGAGCTGTATTAGTAATGCAACCGCCTCAAAATCTAAAACAGATCCAATGTCTGAATAGGAGGATCATCGCGCTAAATCGGTTCGTGTCACGATCTACAGATAAGTGCCTACCGTTCTTCAAGGTACTATGGAAGAAATATAGCTTAGAATGGAATTCAGAATGACAAATGGCTTTTGATGAGCTCAAAAGCTATATGAGCTCGACGCCACCGCTGTCGAAGCCGCTACCAGGCGAAGAGCTCGCGCTATACCTCGCAGTGTCGAGAAGCGCGGTGAGCTCGACACTAGTAAGATAGGACGATGGCCGACAGAGCCCTATGTATTACACAAGCAAGTCTGTGACGGATGTCGAGACTCGCTACCCAAAAGTGTAGAAGTTAGGGCTGGTGCTAACTATCACAGCACAACGTCTTCGACCTTACTTCCAAGCTCACAAGGTGAAGGTTCTCACTAATTTTCCCCTGAAACAGGTCTTCTAGAAGCCTGAAACCTCAGGAAGGCTCATGAAATGGGCTCTCGAGCTGAACGAGTACGACATAAGCTTTGAACCAAGAGCTGCGATGAAGAGTCTACCGGTGGCCGACTTCATCACAAAGCTTACCCTACTCCCCAACTCGGGTGTAGAGAACTTAAACAGATTGGTCCTTAATGTTGATGAATCCTCAAACGAGAATGGTAGTGGGGCCGAGTCCTCCTCCAGGCACTTAATGGATATCATTCGAGTATGCAGTAAGGTTCAACTTCCCAACCTCGAACAATGAAGCAAAATACGAAACTTTGGTAACAGATTTGCGTTGGCTGAGGCCATGGGGGTCATGCGCTTGGACATAGGAGCGGCTTGGATCTCTAGGTCAATCAGATCACCGAGGAGTATCAAGCAAAGAATAGCATAATGGAGAAATAATTACACAAGGTGTGCGAGCTGTTAGCTCGGTTATAGAAGGACACCATAGAACGAGTACCTAGGGCTGAAAACGCTAACACCGACAACCTAGCTAAGCTGGCATCCTCCTACCCGGCTGAGCTCCCAAGGTTGGTCCCAGTCGAGATCTTGGACACTCTCTATGTTCAGGAACCGGAGGCAATAAGCATAGAAGCCACGACCTCAACCTAGATGGATCCCACAAAAGTCTTCCTCCGAGGATAGGAACTACCAAGAATTGGTCAATTTCAGGAATATGCGACGAAAAGCAACAGGGTACATCCTTCTGGACGACGTGTTGTATAAGCGAGGATTCTCCCTTCCACTGTTGAGATGTCTAGACCCGGAAGAAGCAAACTACGCTCTAAAGGAGATCCATGAAAGAAGTATGCGACAATCACGCAAGAGGCCGATCTCTGGTTGCTAAGTTGGTTAGACAGGGCTACTACTATCCTACCATGGGGCGCGATGCCATGAAGTTTGCTCGTCGGTGTGATCGGTGTCAAAGTTTGCAACGACGATAAATCAATCGCCCGAGCTCCTTACGTTGATCTCAGGCCTCTGATCGCTCACTCAATGGGAATCGACCTCATTGGGCCCCTCCCACCTAGGAAGGGTCAAACAAAGTCCGCTTTGGTGGTTGTTGATTATTTCACCAAGTAGGCGAAGGCCGAGCCACTAACCACCATAACTGAGGCAAAAATTACGAACTTCGTGTGGACAAGTCTCGTCTGCAGGTTTGGCATAACCCACGCTATCCTATCCAATAACGGAAAGCAGTTCGACAATCCTAAATTCAACGACTTCCGCATACAGCTCGGGATAAAGTATTTCAAATCTTCCCAAACTCATCCGCAAGCCAATGGCCAAGTGGAAGCCATCAACAAGATCATTA